TATTTGCGATGCAGAGTCGCATTCGCCGCTGAATCGTTGATAGTCTTAATTGGCTTCGTTTCTTCGTTTCGATTGCATAAAATAATCGTTAGAAAACGTGTTTTGCTTAATTGGAAAATTTGTATGTCTCGTCCGTCCATCTCCACCAGCCACGTCTCCCTGTCCTGGTCTACGTCTTCGTCTTCGTCTTAAGTCTCCCTCTTGGACCTGGCGTGCGTGCTGGCCCCCCAGTTTATTGATTTTCCACAGTCTAATGAAGAAAAATGCCGGTGCCCAGTTCGCAAACAGCTCACATTAAACTAACAGCACCTTCAGAATGCTAAAACTTCTATTTAAATGGTCTTATTTATGTTCTTGCAAACCAACATCAACAGTTGGCAGCCAATTGGCGGCGGAGAAAGTCTTCACAGATCATATTTTATTTGTATTTGTAGTAACTCTAAAAACATAGGTTAATATGATTTATTTTGTGGGTAAAAATTAAAAATATGGTGTAACTTGAAGAAAACTGGCCGATCCCTAGAAATTTAACTACAAAGTTCATATAAGAATAGTTATGATTTTCAGGTAAAATGGTAAATGGAACCCCAGCTTAATTAATTAAGAGTTCAAGTGTTTGTTTTAGTTATTTGTTCAGCGGTGTGAAAAATAGTATTACTTTTATTTCAAGAGTAGTTCCTTTTCTTCAATTTATATTTGATATATAAATTTATATTTTATTTATGCATTCTAGAAATTTAAATTATTTTATTGCCTTTAATTTTAATCCATTTCGATTGAAACTTTGATTTTACTTTACATGTATTTTTACATAGTATTTTTTAAATGTTATTTTTTTCATTTGTGGACTGCTTTTAGTCTACATTAAATATACAAATAAAGAAAAGTAAAAATAATTATTTGCTAGTGAGAATAAGTAAATATTTAAAAGTGCTCGGCATTGTATAAATGAAATACTCGGCATCAAGTGCTAGTTAATTCGAATGATCATTCTGCGATTAAGTTTAATTCGAGCGTTGACTTAATAATGCTAGCTATTATTAGCTCAACATTCACATTAAACTTAAAGTCCACAAAAATGTGGCTTACCTCACATAATAAAAACTTTAGACACACCCAACAAAAGAGGGGTAGAAGCACTCGCATTCGGATTCGCATTCGCATTCGCACACAAATCGGCGTTAAGTTTAAATCCGTGAATATTTATAAATCCGTATTAAATTCATAATGTAGAATGTTTAATGCATAAATACATAATAAAATTTTACGACTTTTACCTTATCTTGTCACACAAAAACAACAACAATAACAACGACAACAATGACAACAAAACGAACAGCAACAGCGAAAACAAAAACAATAATAAACTTTCATTTAAAAATGAAAGAGGAAATTTTTGCGCCTACCTTTTGTGGGTCGCTGCATTTTACGAGTATTTTATTGTGCTGCCCGTTAAAACGCTGCAGCCCAACTATGTGGCACGTTGCAAGCGCCAAACAGCAGCAGCAGCAGCAGCAGCAGCAGCAGCAGCAGTAGGCAATGCACGTGCAAAATACAGGCGCCACATGCAACTGCGGCAACTCAAATCCGGCGACATGGATGTGGCGTCCAATTCCTGCGCCAATCGAGCGCCAAACAATTTGTCATTTTTTTGCGGCCGCTGCGAGTGGTGTGGTGTGATGCGGGGCTCTTGCAGCGATGATCAATGCTATGAATTATGATGAGGATTTATGCTTGACACTGTCGCAGTGTGGCAGATAGTGTCGGACAGTTGGACAGCTGGACAAATGGACAAATGGTTGAATGGACAAACATTTACAGCACTGGCTGTGGCATTGGCGCTAGTTTTATGGCCAGCACTTCCCTTCGGCCACGCCAATCGACATCAGCCGGAGACGAATTGAAGGAGGTCCTCGCCTCCGACTCCTTGTCCCTGCCGACTGACCGCTGCTCTATGATTTATTAAGTGTTAATAAAGAACTTAAATCCGTTGGCTTGCATTTTGTATTCTTCATTTTAATCCTTTTCTCACTTTACACCTCTCTCTCTCTCTCTCACTCTGTTTATCCCTATCTGCTTTGCTCTGTTTCGCAGTGGATATCACTGGCCATTGTAATGGTGTTCAGGGTCCGGCTCGCTCAGGATTTCCTTATCAACACATTCCATATTCGCAACGGCGGCGCTGATTTCATTTTTGCAGCCAGCAATTTCACAATAAAATTTCGCGCTCCTGCAAATTAAAATTGCAATGTAATTGGTTAATCCATGCGTACATTATGCTCCCATTTCCACAGTCCATACGAAACTGTCGAGGAAGTGCGCACAGCTCACATTGTTTAACCCGCACTGATTTCATTTGTTGCCTTTTTATTTTTTTTGTTGGTTTTCCTCATTGTTTTTGAGCTCGGTGTGGCAGTTATGGATTGGAGTGGCGCAACATTTTAAATGGCATATAGATTTTGATTCAATGTGTACTTGATCAGCTTGTTCATAAGTATGTGAAAATCTTTAACTTTTACAGTTTGTCAGTATCTAAATAATAGTTTATTTTAAATCAAAATACACTCACATGGAAATATAGACATATTTGAAGACCCATTTTCCAGATTGCAGTCCAGATGTTTGTTTTTTTCACTTAAGCGATGCTCCTTATATTATTTCCAGCCCCGATTTGCATACAAAGCGAAGTCATTACCATTCCAACCGCTTCCCTGCACGACTGTCAACGGTAGCCGAGTATGAAATTTACGATAGCTACCGCTCAGATGCAAAGGTAGATATATATATATATATAGAAAGAGAAGGGAATAGAACATGTACCATGGGAGAATTGCATTTGGCTTGGGGCACTATTTGAGGTGGCCGATTTGGCTGACCACCATTCAGATGCAAGTGGAATCGCAACTGGGCGCCGCACCTGATGATGGATGGCATTTTAATGCAAGACGCTTATTTCGCTTACATAGCCCGCGGGGCAATTAGACATCTAATTAAATTACCACTCCCACCCACAGTTTAATTGGCCCATAATCGCTCAAAACGAGCGCCGGCGCTGATTGCCAAGCATTTGATACAGCGAGACGCCCATTTGGTAAAGCTCCTAGTAGACATAGACCATAGACGAAGACGCACTTGTCTCGCCACAAGTATCTGTATCTAAATGTATCTGCGATTGGGTGGGGTTATTTTCTTATGTATGCCTTCAGTGTTGTGCTGTGCCTGCCACTTACGCAGCTAATAAAGCAGCAATTTGGCAGCTGACGCCGCTGCCAACGCAAACAAACATCAAAAGGCAAACCAGCAAACAGCATCGCCCCGCACCGCCCTGCACCACCCTGACCTGAGATCAAACGCCAAATGTGCGGAGGTTTATTTACAAAAAAACACAACACACACAACACAAAAAAGAAACTCATTGCAAGTACAAAACACTCGATCGCTGGAACGCCTGGTTTTGTTTATGTGTGTGCCTCTGTCTATAAAGATATTTGGAATTTGGGCTGCTGGCGCTTCGGTCGGCCCACTCGGCACCTGTTGGATGTTTTGAAGGGCGCTGTTATCGGGCTGCTGTCCAGATTTATTCCAATTGCAGCAATCGTTCAGTTTTTCAAAGTCAATACTTTTACCGTTGGCTTTGAAGCGGCCGCCGTCGACATTTTTATGGACCGACAATCGAGCGAATTTGATGCATTGCCATTGAAATCGGTCTCTAATCACACCTCAAGTGCTCTCACGCTGGGCTTATATTGATTGGCTTTGGCTTGGCTAAGATGAAACAACAATCGGATCCATCTTATAAATCTTGTTCAAAATAAAATGTCTAGCAAGTAAAAGCATACACTTCAAAAATACTACAGACTATTTACTAAAGACAGTTTTGGTAGTTTTGTATTTTATTATTTATACATTATTGGAGAGCCCATAAAATTCAATCTTCATATTAAGGAATTTATTATATTTTTGTATTTATTTGGTATTTATTTTATACCCAAGAGTTGCTGAAAATCATATTTATATTTAACAATTTATATATACAAGGTTTTTGATTTAATAGACATATATTTTTAGAACAAGAGTTGCTGAAAAACGCCATTTATATTTTATTTATATATAATTGTTTTAGACTTGTTTCACATTTGCTTTTTGGAACGTTTTTGATTTGATTTCATTCTCAAGATGCCTAAAAATCATATTTTTAAATCTTAAATGAATGTTAACAATGACTCAGTTAATTTATGCGCAATACATCAATTGAAGTCTTTATTTTGATGAATTTATAAGACAATCATGACCCGATAAAACTCATGCACAGTCAATTGTGCTGCCAACTGGCGCCCGAGCAGGGAGCCACGACAACAATCATCGATTTGGGGCAGCATCCACTGAACTGGAGCTTACACTGGCAACACAGCAGTCGCATCCCGACAACAGTTACTGCAACAACAACAACAACAACAACAAGAACAGCAACAGCAATGAGCAACAACAAGTAAGCGAAGCAAACAGCAGCCACATAACGAACCAAGTTTGAATATACTCGTAAGATTCCTGAGTATATTAGGTAGCAAAATTTTTACGAGCTCATTATGGCTCATTTCGGCGATTGTTGTGATCCTTTTATGCGCCTTCGAATGGCTTCAAATGGTTATGAGGCTATTCTCTGTCTGTCCCTCGCCTCGCCTCGCCTTGCCTCGCCTCACTCGGGCGTCCTGCTCGACCGCGTTTCGCACTCGTCCTGCTGCTGCTGCTGCTGCTGTTGCCTTTGCTACTGCTGTTGCTGTTGCTGTTGCTGCTGCCAGGACGACTCACGATATTTAGTTTGCAGTTGCGACTGCGATTTTTACTTTTGGCGCTGTTCTTTAAGTTTCGTTTCGTTTGGTTTGGTTTGCTTTGCTTTTTGTACTTTTTACTTGGCTTTCCGCTCATGTTACTTGGCAGTTTGTTGTTGGTCCTCGCATATTTGGGCAAAATGTCGCCGACTGTCTGCGCCACTGTGTGAGTGTGTGTGTGTGTGTGTGTGTGCATATCCGTGCCCTGTGTGTGCAAGTTTTTGTATCTTTCGCATGTTGTTGATTTTAGAGACTTGGCAACGAATGAGAAGAGGCGGCAGCGGCAGCGGGAGTGGGAGTGGGCACAAAAGTAAATTTCTTCTTATAATAAGTTTATTTTGCAAACACTTGTGGCAAGCAACTTTGTTTGTTCGCTCTTTCGGTTTTGGCCTCTAATCTACGAGCCGTTTGTGCGAATGTGCAAACTTTGACAAATATTTGCAAAAGTTTCGCAACTGCTCGAACTGAGATCTCTTTGCATTATGCATATCAATTTATTATCATCAATTTGAAGGCGCATTAATAACGCATTTTATATATTGATATTTGGCTTAAGTGCCGAATCATAAAAAAAAGAACAGAAGGCCATCATTTTATTGCCGTCAAGCTGCATTTAGTAAAATACATCTTTATAAAGTTTGCGATTGCCAATTTATACAGAATTTTAACTATCCATTAAAAGCTGCGAAAAACTATAAAAATTAATTTTGAATTAATATTTAAATGGCATAAAATCTTGTTTAATACAAACATCATAAATGTTACTCGGAAATATACAAATATATTAAATTTAATTTTATATATAACCAGCAAATTTTACAAAATTTGATTTGGAAAGTAGTGAATATTAAAATAAAAGGTCAGGAAAACAATGGACATGAAACATATATAGAAAAATATTTATCATCATAATCATTGTTATAAAAACTCGTAAGTTAATAAAGGCAAATTAAAACTAAGACATTTTAAGACAACAACTAATAATTGTGTGCAATAAAATATCTAATTTATGAATCAAATGAATACGTAAAACTTCCAAAAACATAATCAAAATTTTGTTTTCACTGAATTTATTATTGCAAAAAGTGGATTTTGTTAGAGAAAAAGAAACAGGTACACCAATATAATCAAATATATATACATATATATATTTATAAATATATGTATTCATATACATTCTTCTTTATATAAACAAAGTTGTCTGCTATGAAACTTAGTGCATCAATTTAACGAACACTTATTAAACAAATGGCGTCAGATATGGTTTTTAATTTCCATATTAGTTCAAGTTGTAATATTTACAGTGTAGATATTATTTTATTTATAGCTCTTGATTAGTTTTAAATTATTAATTTTTGCAACATTGCAGTGTTCAAATGGCAGAGAAACTAAGAAGTCAAAGAGTACCTGTACCTGTAGTAAATATGTATATAGAATTAATGCAGGCAAAACAATATTGTTAATAAATACATTTAAGAAAAGTAGTGTAGCAATTAAATAAATACACATTAAAGAAATGTCAACAGATATGAATTTTAATTTCCATATTAGTACAAGTTGTAATATTTACAATGTAGATATTATTTTATTTATAGCTCTTGATTAGCTTTAAATTATTACTTTTTGCAACATTCTAGTCGAGAAACTAAGGAACCAAAGAGGCAAGTATATGTATGTATTATGTGTGTAATACATATGTGGATGTAGTCGCCGTAGAACTGATGCAGACCAAGCAATATTTTTAATATATATATGTATATGGTTTGTTAGGGAAAACAATAAGAAATGTGGCAGCTATTTATTTTGAATGGATGAGTAAATGATATAAAAATGTATCTTTTATAGCACACATATAAAACTATAAATATATTTTTGGCAGACTATACAGTGGATACTTTGTGGCGTTAACATATTTATTATAGTAAACAAGTATGTCAACAAAATATTTGGCTCTGATGAGCAACGGCTTTCAAGAAGTCGCTCGAAATGCAGCGAACATGTCAAGCAAAATGTGTATTTGAATCTGCAGCGCGTTGCGTGCAACTGGCAACTGGCAACTGGCAACCGTCGACTGCCAACTGTCGAGCGTCGAGTTCTTGCCGAATTGAGTGCAAAATAGCGAAAATCATTTGAGTGCAACGTAAACGCTGCCTGGCCTATAAGAAAAATCAGCCCTCCTCCATGATGAATTTCCACGAACACAGCCAGAGCACATTTTCCACACGCGCAAATGATGAATTCTCCACTCAGAGCACACTGAGCGAGCGAGCGAGCGAGCGACCCACGGCTCAAACATGTTCGAATGAACGCTCTCAAACACGCCGAGTGAACATCGAATGAAGCGCAGAGCGGCGTCATTCACTGCTGAGAGTGTGAGCGAGTCGTCGTCGTCGTCGTCGTCGTCGTTGCTGGTTTGAGTAGCCCTTATCACTAGGTTGGTCACTTGGTGAGAGCACCGAGTGTGTTGCTGGCTCATTCTGTTTCAGTTTCGCTCATTCATTTGGTGCGATTCGCCTCTCTGTTTTGGCTGCTTCTTCTTCTTGTGGTGCTGCCGCTGCCGCTGCCGTCGCCGTCGCTGCTGCTGCTGCTCGTGCTGGTTGCTGGTTGCTGGTTGCTGCTGCTACTGCGTATCGGGGGAGCTCTACAGGCAAAGCGCTGCCGTCGTCGTCGTCGTCGTCATCGTCGTTCGCTGCTTGTGGCCCGTTGCCATTCAGTTGAGTTTAGTTGAGTCTCAGTCAAAACACAACCAACTGCGATTTGGTGGCACATTCGTTCGATGGCAACGGTTTGGATAACAGGCGCGCGCTTTGTTTTATTATCCCACATTATCAGCGGCATTATTGTTATTGGCATTGTACGCTCAATTTTAATGTTGAATGGCCCTCGCGCTCTGAACTCGCATTCACAATCGCATTCGTCCAGTGGCCAGTGAATATCTGAATTTCAATCTCAATCTGAATCTGAATTTGAATTTGAATTTCTTCTAATCGTATCTGAAGCGTCAGTTGAACGTGAAGCGCGCGCTCGTCGCCGTCGTCGGTTGTTTCGGTCAGCGCTAATAACAATAATAATTATAATAACAATAACAACAGCAATAATAATAATAATAATAATAATAATAAAAATAATCATAATAATAATAATAATAATAGTTTGTAATAACAATAATGATAACGCTATGCATGTTAAGTGAGTGATTGAATTCAAAATGAATATTGAATAGGCGCCACTTTGAATACTTCAAATCAATATTCACTCATTAACACTCAAATATTAAATATATTTAGTGTGGCAGCAGTGTCAAGTGAATTAAATACGAGTGCAATTGGAAAAACGAAACCAAAATCAAGTATACGAAACTTCACAAAAAAATCAACACAATTAATATAAACATAAACATAAAAAATATTTTTTAAAATTCTACAACTGATGCGAGCCGGCATAAGTGCAATAAAAATATTGATAAATTACAAATAGTGTAAAATTTATTATGCATTAAAAATTTACAATAAAAAAAAAAAACAAATAATTACAAATTTTACAAAATATTGTAGTTCAAGTTCAAAATACATTCAACTAAAAGAAAACATTAATAATATTTATTGAAAATATTATTAAATTTAAATACATATTTTTAGTGCAATCGAGCACAACTGAGAATCACAATTTGTATACGAGTGCCGAGTGCCGCGTGCAGTTACTTTTAGTAGCTGCTGTAGCTGCCAGTTAGCCGCCAAAATTCTCACCGCCAGCAGCAGCAGCAGTCACAACATGAACTCCTACTTCGAACAGGCCTCCGGCTTCTACGGCCATCCCCACCAGGCGACGGGCATGTCCATGGGCACGGGCGGTCATCACGATCAGACGACGGCCAGCGCGGCGGCGGCAGCTTACAGAGGCTTCCCCCTGTCGCTGGGCATGTCACCGTATGCCAACCACCATCTGCAGCGCACCACACAGGACTCGCCGTACGATGCGAGCATCACGGCTGCCTGCAACAAGATCTACGGCGATGCGGGCAGCGCCTACAAGCAAGACTGCCTCAACATAAAGGCGGACGCAGTCAATGGCTACAAGGACATCTGGAATACGGGCGGTGCCAATGGCGGAGGTGGCGGCGGTGGTGGTGCCACTGCTGGCAACACCTCCAATGGCTCCCAAGCGCCCAACGCTGCCAACGGACAGAACAATGCCGGCGGCGGCGGCGGAGGCGGTGGCATGCCCGTTCGCCCATCCGCCTGCACGCCGGACTCCCGCGTCGGCGGCTACTTGGACACATCGGGCGGCAGCCCCGTCAGCCATCGCGGCGGAGGCAGCGCTGGTGGCGGCAACGGCAGCGCCGGCGGCGTACCACAGAATACCGCCAGTGGCGTGGGCGGCGGTGGTGTGGGCGCGGCCACAGCCTGGAATGCCAACTGCACCATCTCGGGCGCTGCGGCGGCCCAAACGGCAGCCGCCAGCAGTTTACACCAGGCCAGCAATCACACCTTCTACCCCTGGATGGCAATCGCAGGTGAGTCCACGGCAGATCCAACCAAAAGTGAGTGTCCGACTCTCAACTCTCAACTCTCAGTCCAGTTCTCTACTCAAACACTATCTTAAGCCTCAGTTCAGTTCAGTTCAGTTCAGTTTTGGTTCGACTCGTTTTTCATTTCATTCGTTTGGTTTTCTTTCATTTTTTATTAGCCAAGTAAAATGATTTGTTTTTGTTATTGTTGTTGTTGTTGGATGTTGTTGGTTGTTGCTGGTACGTGATGTCTGTTCCTCTGTTGTTTTCATAATTGTTTCTGTCTGGTCAAGTGATGATCCATTATAAGACAACCACTTGCCAAATGAGTAACGCTCAATAATAATAATTATACTATTTATATGACTAATATTTGTAAATTATTTAAACTGTCTCGTATGGAATAAAAAAGAAAACGACTCCACAAGCTATAAACAGATTTACAAACACATTAATTTATTATTAAAAAAAAAAAATATATATTACAATTTGTTAGAAAATTGTAATTTCTAATTGATTAAGTGTTGCAAAGAAGCTAAAATTCAAATTAACTTTTGCTCAAAAATATTTACGAGTATATGTAATTTAAAGCTCGCCATTAAAAATCTATTGTCTTAGAATTCCCATGGAAGAAATTTAAAAGTTGTGTTATATAGTTGAATATCATTATTAAATGTATTAAATCATTTGTCTAATTAAATTCACATGATAAACCAAGAGTTTTAATGTATAAGGATTGGTAAAAAAATAAAACGATTGGGAAAAAATTAATAAAAATGAATGAAAAAATTCTTTGGATATATTTTATAGCTTGCAAAATAAAAATTTAAATTTTTTTAGAGAAAAATAAAAGATTCTATATTTTATTTTCGACTACACAGTCAATTTGAAATATGAAGCCTTAAAAAAAATGGATTTGAGCTTCAGAAAAACTTGTAAAATGTATCGTGCAAATTGTTGTAAATTGCATTAATTCTATTCTTAAAATATTATTCAAATTAGTGTTTTAGATAATCTAAGGGCAGTCCATCAATTTAAAGTTGGCTCGAGGAGAGCTCAACAGACCCATAAACAAAACCCAACCACTCAAGCTGGGCATAGCCACCCAGTCTAGCTGCAACCACTGGTAGTTACCTCTTCCTTGATTTTACGCTGTTGCTGCTGCCACACGCCTTGCAGCACTCTAGCGCTTGCTGCCTCATAATTTTCAACACTTTGTTTACCAATTTTTGTCACCTTTGGTTTTAATGATGCTCAGCGGCGACGATGTCGCCGTCACCTTCATCGTTGTCGTTGTCGTAATTGTTGTAACAACAGCAACGTTGGCGGCAAAGTGGCAACGAAAGTAAGCTGCAATTTGTGCAACAAGAGCAGCCGCCGCGGCAGCCAACTGGTAACGCAGTAAATTATGACCATGCGGCTAAAAGAGCTGCAAAAATAGCAAACGGCAGCAGCAACAGCGTGAAGAAATCCTTTTGCCAGGACACACACTGAGCGCAGTCGCGCTTATTACAGCTAACAGCGCCATTATGTAATTATGTGCAGCACGTCCTGAAGTAAACAGCCCTTTCGAGTACTCGGGTTACCACCAGCCGAGTCAAGTCCATAGGTTACCCCTTGGCAGAGCACTCCTAAGCACTGCACCTTATCAGCCGTTGTGGGCCTCAAAAACAGTCGGTGATAACAAAAACAACGCAATCACAACGCGAAATTCCATTATGAAGTCAATTTCAATTCAGCGAAATTATTTTCCAGATCCCCAAAAAAAAAAAAAAGAGGCAAATTTGACCATGCGAAATTTATGGCCGCCCTCATGTAGGTGGTCAGCGGGCAAACATAAATTGTGTTTCGCATGTTGAACGCGTTAACTGTGCAGCATTTATCAGACACTTGGACCGCAGGGCAACAAACAACAACAACTGAGGACGGTTACGAGGTAGTGGTAGGCGGTAGGGGGTAGGGGGTAGGGAATGAAGTTCGCAAAAATCAATCAAAATTTCACTTGGGCTATCGATAATTACAAACTTGGCACCCCGAGCAACCAGATGGGCAGCTGGCTGGTTAAAAAACAATTAAAGTTGAACTAAATACTGAAGCTGAAGGTAAACGCTCTAGCGACAGGTTTTTAGCGTAACTGGTTCCAACTCCAACTCTGTGCGTTCCTTATTCGCCTGTTCGGCTCAATCTCAATCAATCGATTCTGATATAACGCGGAGATGATCGTAATGAAATTTATGCCCAGTCGATTGGCTGTGGCAAACATGAAATGCTGATGATGCATCGCTGAGCTGAAATCCTAATACAGGGTGTCGCAGACATATTTCACATGGGCAAACACTCAAAGCCTGACTGTTATGCAATCATAAGCAAATCCAACTGCAGATCATTCCTCAAATGAGATGTAAAATCTAACAAAGCAATTTTTACCTGAGAAATTCCTCCTATTATAACAGTGTTGTTTCCAATAAGAATACGATATGCGCTGCAAACTCACCACACCTAAGAATTATTCAAGTTAATGGTTAGTTTGGCTATGGTGAATACTTTCAATGCATATCTAAGAATATTTATCTGAGCATTTTATTAGTTTAGCTACAGTTTAACTACAATTTACAAAAAAAAAAAGATTGAAATCTTCACTATTCTCACTAAAGGCTAAATCTCTAATCTACAATCAGTAAATGGTGATTTGCTGTCGATATTAGCGCACAAATCTCTGTTAAAATCAATATCGATTTTGCTTACACTTTTGATTTATTTAGCACTCGAAACAATTTGTAATGTTAACAATAATTTTGAATGGAGCGTTTTTGGCTGTGAGCCACTGATTCCATCGCACAAACATTCGCGCAGAGGAAAACAAAATCAAGCCATAAATAAATCGCCGCACACTTCCAGCGATCATCGATCATTTCGGGCGGCCTCCAAAAGCCGGGGAAAAAATGAAACAAAAAAAAACATCAAGAAAATAATGAAAAATTCCGTTTTTATCGTATCTAAACATGGTTTAAGATTTGAGAACCTACTTCAGTTTTGTTGGCTGTTTGGCTCTTGGCCTCTTGGGTGTTTGTGTTGGCGACTTGTACAGTTGTTGTTGTTGTTGAGTGTGTGTGTGTGTGTGTGTGTGTGTGTTATGTGTGAACACGTTGAGCGCGGGGCCATTAAATCATTGTCCTGAAGGCTTTTAAGTCATTATCGATAAATTTCAACATAAATTCGTAAATTTGCTTTATTTGCCTGGGCCCCACACACTCACACACACACACACACACAGGTACAAGCTGTGCTTGTGTGTATGCGTCTGACATGTTAAGTTTTGGGGCTAAAATTTGTTTGGCTAATTTCGATGCTTGTTGAATCGGCGCCCACGTCTAAAGAAAAAGATCGATATCAGAGGCAAAGACGCGTCGCACATGTCTCGATGCTCAGTTCTTTTTTTTGGCACGAAATGACCTTGAGAATCGACCATCCAAGGACCGCAATTGACACGTCCTGTGCAATCATAATTCATATTTGGGCACAGCTTCCACGCTGCGTCTGCAAATGATCGCAATTATCAGTGCTCATTGTTTCTGTGAGCTCAGGTAGAGAGGGACTTCAGCACAAAATGAGAATCTATCGACCTTTCCTTGGCTTATTATATTACCTCAGTCTCCGAACTCTCTGTCAATTAGTTGCAGTGCAACGCAATTGTGGTTCACACGTACAATGGACTGGGGCACGTTGAGTTCTGAGTTCCATTTCAGCCAAGGTTAATGTGCTTGGCAACATTTTTGGTAAGGATTGCATAACCATAAGTCATAACTCACAAAGTTCAAATGGCAATGGACTGGCAACACATTTCGCAATACATGCAACAGGAACAGGAACAGTCACAATTACTATTACAACTGCAACTGCAACTGCAACATGCAATTAAAATAGGCCACAAGTGGCACGCACTCCCCCCACTCCCATAAAATGTACTATATCGATGATTATGCTGGCTGGCAGCGAGAGCAAAACAGGAAAACATTTTCAACGCACGCTTTTATCAGATTTGCAAAATGCAAAATCAAAAGCAAATCAAATCAATTGAAAAATTTGTTAACAACTTGCAGCGGATGCTGCTGCTTATGTTGCTGTTACTGTTGCTGTTGCTGTTGCTGTTGCTGCATCAGAGCAGCTGATGACTCTTCGGAATGGACGCGTTGCGCATTCGGGGATTGGCTTGTGTGCCCGGGCAGCTTCTTGCATTTTTTAATGTATTTTTAAATAAGGAATTTAATAAGCACCTTGGCAGCCGTCGGACAACGACTCGAATGCAGACAACAACAATGTCGACAACGGCTACGACGACTACGACGACGTCGACAACGCAAAGTGGCCCAGACACATGGCCCAAAAAATTAAAAAAAATAAATAAAAAAGAAAAAAGACAAGAAGACTGCAGGGCGAGAAGCAATTTTTGGTTATAAGCCCAGTACACACACAGTGGGAAAGTGAAATATATATTTAAAAATGCATAAGCACTTACAAAAACAGTATTTAAACAGTTATATTCTTTTTTATGTACGACGATTGTGTGAATCTTAAAATATCACTCAAAAAGCTTTTTTTTAATAATTTCAAATTAAACAAATACAATAAACAAATACAAAATACGATAAACTAATTTTGAACCTTTGAAAAAACGATTACAAATCATATGAAATTTTTAAAATATTGTCTTACATAATTCAACATATTTTATCCATATGAATCATTCATCGGAACATAAATCCATTCATTTTGGTTTTGTCCGGGTATTTCCAGAAACTTTAACTATCAATCAAAAAATGTATGTTATAATTCGCAGCTATCATCTGTATTTTTTCTTTATTTTACATTAGAATCAAATACAAAATTTAATAAAATCAATAATCATTTCATATGCTAAAAATATCGTCATACATAATTGTATATATTTTTTATTAGAAATCTACTGGCATATGAGCTATTCCATTCAACTTATTATTTTTTAATATTTAATAATAAGATTTCTCATTTTATAGATTGATTCCATCTCATTGAAGACTTCTTACAATATTTAAATTACAACACAATATTAAATTACTTGAAAAATTTCAAAGATTTCGATATTATATTTCGATGTATAAGCGTATTTTCTTGAGACTCTTTCGATTTATGCCATTGTTTGTTGGACGTTTCTTGGCGGTTGCAAAATCATGTTTTAAGGTGTTTTTGATACCTAATAAAAACAACAACACAGCTCCGGCAAGAGGCACACACGCACACTTGCACCCTATCTCTCTCTCTCACTCTCACATACACAAATATATGAACAGAAATGCAACGAAAACGCGCCATGCCAAAGGGTCAACTGAAGATGGAGAGAAGTAAGCTGTGGCAGAGTGGCAGGCGGGCCTGCCGGCAGGGGGCAAGCGGGGAGAGAGAGAGGGAGAGAGAGAGAGTGATAGAGAGAGAGAGAGAGAGAGAGAGGGTTGCCGTGACTATAAGGGCAGCGAGCGCCGCAGTGGCCAACACAAGAAATGCTTTTTTGGACCCAGGTCGCCAACATACGTCATAGCAGTCGACGGCGACTGCGACGCCGTTCGCCGTGTTTATTATAAAACAACAAATCATTCATTATAACCACTTGTGTGTACAGAAACAGATACATACATATAAATATATAAATACATATATGTTTACATATATAAATATATATATTTATAATACGTGCATTTGTGTAGGTATGTGCATATGAGAAAGTGGCGTAAACATGAAAAGAAACACAAGTTGCCAACGCCATGAAGTTTTATATATATATATATATATATATATATATATTGGCCATCTATGTATGTGCTGTGTCCAAATCTGAGTAACTGCTTGGGTGTGCGTGTGTGTGTGTGAGTGTGAGTGTGTGAGTGTGTTTGTGTGTGCCCTGTCGTATAATATGCATATTTGCGTATTATTTTGATTTTAATAATGATTTATTTATTATTAATAATTCATTGGTGGTGGGCCCTCGCCAAGATCGAATTGGATTTGTGCTGGCTTCGCATGGGCGCTGATTGCGATCTGATCTCTGGCAGCCACTTGGTCGCAGCAGCAGCAGCATCATCATCATCGTCGTCCAGTGCGAAAGCTACGCACCTCAACATGAACTCGATCTCCATTCCAGTTCGACTTGGAATCCATGAATGGGCATATATATGTATATCAGTATTATTAAGCCCAGCTGGGCTAGATCGTTGGCTGCTTTGGTAATACAAGTTGCGTTTGTGTTCGTGTGTGTATGTGTTGGAAACGTAGGAAACGCATATTATAATGAGCTTCAATTAAGATAAAAATCTTGAAAACAAAAGAGACAATGATTTATTGGTTCACAATTATGCAGTGACTACCTTGAGGCACTAGACCAAACGGCCAAAACTCCAACAGACTTAGTACCACTTAACTAGTTAGTGGCAAATTCCTCAAAATTACACTGAAATATAAACTATCCTTGGAATATGCATAAAGGGTTGCAGATCAAATTTAATTATATTTTACGAACAACCAACAATCTGAATCACCTACATTTGCCTATGGCATAAATTATTTTATTTTGTTTCGCGTATGATTCGCCTTAAACCAGTTACAGCTGGCCTGTTTAATATGGAAAATATTTTTCGGTTCGCATTTTGGTTGACACAATAAAACAGGCTGGTAAACATTTAAAATTTGTAGTATTTGTATTTCTAATAAAGGAATTCGTTATAATAGTTAATAGGTTTCAATTTAATTTGTTTGATTTTCAATTAGTTACAAAAAAAAAAAAACAAAATCCAGAATCATTAAGGTTCTAGTTTAGGTAACTTTTTTTAAACTTATTTAATTAACATCTTCGAATTTGTATCTACAAAAGTTAATACTTTGGGTCAGGGCATTAAAGCAGCTACCAATCGACGGATTTCATTCCCCCCGTGTTAACACTCTTTCGCCATACTTGAACAGTAGCCTAGACACGCTTGTCGGGTCTCCAATCATTGATTTACGAGGGCTCGCTGCAAAACTGGGTAACTGTTATGCCAGTTTAAATATTTGGTAAAAGCGAATCGATGTGGTATATGCCAAGCTTGCTTACCATGAGTTATAGACTAACTATTTTGATTTACGGCCGTACATTGAACTCAACTGAACTGGGACTCAAGAACTCAACGCTGGCGCCTCGCAATCCAACTAGACTCCAACTTTGGGTCTGACCAGTAGGGCCGCCGAGCGCTGCGCCCTGCCTCCGCCTACGCCTTGCCACATTAATGTCAATTTAATGTTTCCTTAATGACTTCTTTCGTTGCAACTTGTTTGCCTCATGTTGTTGCTATTAGTGTTGTTGTTGTAGTTCTTATCAGTTGCTGGTCAAACTTGTCGCTTGGTTGGTTGGGTTGGTTGGGTTGGTTGGGTTGGTTGGTTGGAAAGTGTTTATGCTAAAGAGCTAACGAGTTTTCCCCACGAAAGTGAAGGGCCAACCAAGACTTTGGTTCGACTTTAAATTTCGTAGAGCTACTGCTTGGCTATGATATGATATGATATTGCATGATATACTCCCTATATTCACTGGCTGACATGTGCTCCACGCTTTGTCTATTTATTTGGGTCGGCAATTAAGATTTTTATCAGCGCCTTTTGATGGGGCAATAAAAACGCAAAAGACGCTGCAGACAAAGTGCAAACAAATGCTCTCTCTTTCTTTAGCTCTCTCTCTCTCTCTCACTCTCGCCATCTATCTCTGTCTCTGATGCAGCTAGCTCATTTATGCGGCTGGGGATTTTGTCAAGAGCGTGCGCCGGTTTAAAGAGTCATAAAAATCAGCTAAATGTGCACTGAAAAAGGTGTGAAAAAATACCCAGCACTGCAAATAGCATTGGGTTGAGGGGGCTTCTAGGCGGGCGTTTCAAATTGCTGGCAGCACTTGACGAACTGGTTACCAGTTCAAGCCACAAACTAAATGTGTAATTTTCAGATGCTTGTAAACACTTTCCCCCATCCCCCATCCCCCATTACATCCCCCCTTGAATGCAGACTCCCGGTGCCAGCTGACTGTCTGCCGACGCGCCAACCATTTGTTTGAATTTGTCTAAAGTGGCTGCCCCTTTTTTCTCCTCTCTCGCTCTCCTAAGTACAATTTTCATAATTTTCATTGCTGCTGCTGCTGCTGCAAAAAAAAAACAACAAAAAAACCAGCGTTTGTCAAATTTTCCGTTTACTTTTAGTTGGCGCCCCTGCCACACCCCTCCATCCCCAATGCCCGTTGCCATAGTTGTGTTGCCTTTTCTTTTTAATTTAATATTTTTTTTTGTTGTTTCTTTTTGGGCGCTGTGTCTGCCGTCTGCATCTGGCTGTCCGTCTGGGCCAGCTATTTTCCCACTCCCTCTCTCCTTCTCCATCCTGCTCTCTCTCTCTCTCTCTCTCTGCCTCGCTCTCCGTCTCTGTGTGCTCTTCAGCTGGAAATTGCGTTTACTCAGGCGCCAGGCGCGCATATTTAAATACACACGTGTTTTATCGCTGCCATTAAATCATATTTTTATACTTTACCTTTTTGCTGTGCCACCTTTAACGACTATCAGCCCCCCCCCCCTCCCCTTGCCCCAGACAAAGGTTGAACCCCCTCTCCTCTTGGAGCGCGCTGGCATTTTGATTGTTTACATTTTGCACTTTCACAGCGTAAACAAACAAACAGCGCTAAATATTGTTAAAAATAAAAGTACAAATAAAAAATTCGAGACTGGAAAGACGTCCCGTTTGAAGCGCTTTGGTGGGGAGGGAGGGCTATGGGGGGAAGTGTGTTGCCTGTTGGTGGGCAAAATGTCAAGTATTAAATGTAGTTTTAGTTCATCTAGTAAAGCTGACTTCAATGAAGTTGCTTGTGAATATTATTTACATTATATATTTGATGAGCATTAAGCAGTTCACATCCCACTCAATCTTAGTACAGATATCTTTTAAAGTTAAAGCATCGGATTAGACATAAACATCCACATTACACATCTAAATTATGTTTTCTGAATACGAAATCATTATTGTGGAACATTTAAACTCCGACTAAACTAGTACTTATCTCGCAAGCAGCTAGATCTTAGTGCCACAAATGTAAATACACAAAACTATTATTGCTAATAAGCCATAATATTGACATTTTTACAATCTTCAATTGAAATGTTAGTGGTTTTCTGGCTCGTTGTCGTTGTCGGACTGGCCTAAGCAAGTTAAGCCAAAAGTGTTGCCTTACAATGATCAGCAGCATAGGTTAAAGATCAAAAGAATCTGTAAACGGCTACTGTTCAAACAGCACTTAAACTATCTCTCCCCCTCTCACTATCCTCCCTCTCTCTCTGTATGTCTATCTTTGTACTACTCTTGCAATTTGCTGCATTATGGCAACTGCATTAACCGCAACAGCAGCAGCAACAGCAGCAGCAACAACAACAGCAACAACAACAGCCAACAACAACAACAAAGCTTAGTTTCAATATACTCAAGCTGGCCCCAGCACACGTGCGGCTGCTTAAGCATTAATGCCTCATCCAAAGCTCTCCCCCCGCACACCAACAAGCAGCTCACAGCCACGTATGTGGTGTGGTGCCTGCCGGTGGTGCTGGTGGTGCTGCGGAGAGTTAACAATTTTTTAGCATTTTTTAAACGTTTCTCCTCTCTGGTCTTCTGCATTTTCAGGTAAGATAAGATCTGATTTAACACAATACGGCGGCATATCAACAGACATGGGTAAGAAAATTTCCACATTTTTTTATTTTATTATTTTACTTTATGCATTAGCGCAACGAAACTGTTTAGAATCTAGTCTAGAGTCTACTAACATTATAAATTAGTTAGAAATTAGCAATGGTGTCGGTTACTACCTTCTAGCATAAATGTAGGAGAAAAATTACTTGCTGATTGCTGATGTTGCAATTGTTGTTGCAGGGGGAAAGGCGTCAAATGTTAACTCAAATGTGCCAGCCCCAGAGGTTGTGTGTGTGAAACTGATTGATTACTCGACTTCATGCGGCCTGCCACCAGCTGATTAGGCCAACTGCACAAGTTGGCTCGCACGCAACGTTAACGCAATTAATGTTTGGCATTAAACAGACTCAAGTAGCCCCAGCAGCGGCAAGTGGCTAACAATGTTGCACAAAAAGCTCTGCCTACTGTTGATGCCACTGCGGCTGCGACTGCTGCTGCTTCTGCTGCTGCTGCTGTTCCTGCTGCTGCTGCTGTTTTTCTGCTATCTGCAAGCGGCGACTTCTGTGGCCCAAAGCCACTGGAGGCGTTCCATTTTGTTGGAACCTTTGCAAGGCCAGGTTATCAATCAGTTCGTCGTCGTCGTCATCGTCGGCGTCTCAGAGCAGCTACTTCTGAAAATCCAATTACATGCACAGATTGCCAGACTGACCGACTGACAGACTGGCAGACCGACAGCATGGGCAACGGGGCGACTGATCAGCGCTTGTTGAAGCCGCTCCGCTCAAATTACATGAATCGACGATGCAAGGCATGAATTGAGGCGCAAAATTACCAAGACGCGCCACCCAGACTGAAACCAATCCCTCTCACTCTCCTCGCTTCCCGATACTGTTCCTATCTGGAGCTGAGCTTATTATTTACTATGTTCAATTGATTATCTTGTGCAAATCGGTAGCTAAATATTGGCACAGGCGCAACAAGTGGGCAGCTTTCAGCATAAAGCGTGAGCGTTTGTAAAGATCTGGAGATCCTCGTTGGCAGCCCTGGCAGAAGGCATCCTCAATGCTGTGGTGGGCAGCTCTTTTGGCAGCTCACCTTGCCATCGAGTGCCCGTAGATATGATGAGAGATTTAGATTGAAGCTGGCAAGTAGATGCCACTGAAGAGAGCTACCACTTTGTGAGTGGGAATAACGCGAATCGAATCTGTTGATTGGCATCTGATTAAAAAGGATTATTATTATAGTTTGATTCAATGCAGATTCTAACTTGTTACTCAAAAGTTTATCACTCAACACAATCACTTTTTATTTTCCAGCCTCCCACAAAAAGTAGAAATGCTTTCCCAAAGTACTCCTAAATTACACAGCGAGTTCAGTTTAAGAAGTACTTTATTATAAAATCTCTGAATATTTCAGAAAATCACATTTATTCATATTGTAATTGAATGAATATTTAGCAATATAAAATCATCTGTCTTAGACTGTCTGAACCTCATATTTGGCAATCTAAATTAATCCAATCGTTTCGTACTTCACTGGGAAAAATGATTTACATTTATTTCTAGGGTCATTTTGAATCCATTTACCAAATGCTGACAATATTAACTGCCTCTTACCCACTAAATACTCTTTGTAATAATAGTCATTCGATATTTCGTGGCATGCAGGTAAAATCTCATAATTTCGCTGTCAATTCTCAGTCATTTCCACGACCGAAACAACCCAACTTGAACCCGAAGCCCAACAGCTAAATTAGGGGGTGGTGTGTGGGACGGGATGTATCCATTTAGGGGGCGTGCTCGCATTCGGAATGCTGCTGACATTGAACATGACATTTTCCCCCAAAGAGATAATTAAATTGCGGGCTTAATAGAATTAAATGCCGTGTTTGCATTTCAAAATCCAAAACGTGCCAAATGCCAATGGCCGAACTCCCTGTGCCCCTCCGCTACCCATTGCAACCGCGCTCCCTACGCCATCCAGAGTCACGATGCGGTTCGCCTGTTTGTTGGTCAAAAGCAACAAACAACAAAAGCAGCAGAAGAAAAAACAACAACAAAGTACAAAAAATGTCAATTTGGACAAGTTTTGATAATTGCAGGCGCGGCCGAGCTGCAGAGTCGCGTTCGCATTGTGGCTGGCAGAGCTACTGTGCTGCATGTTGCACGTACCACGAATCGCATAGTGTGTGTGTGTGTGTGTGTGGTATGGTGTATGCGTGTGCGTGTGCTGCTGCTGCTGCTCCATGTTGCATGTTGCAGTTAATAATTATTGAAATGTGTGGCCGCCAGGAATTGTGCTCGTGCTCCTTGTGCTTCCTGCGCGGCTTCCGTCATCGTCAGCAGCACCAGCAACAGTCAGCAGTCGGCAATGTTGCATGCATCGTTACCTTTAAGGCTCTGTTATAGTTGTGGCTGTTGCCACTGAGCAAAAGACTAACAATGCTTGCATTTTCCCACCTTTTTCACATAACTTTTCAGTTGTTGTTTTTTCGTTAACTGTTTTTTTTTTCCTGTGCTTTTTTTTTTTTGTTGCTTTAGTTTCGTCTTCGGCTGCCGTTGCCACTGGCAGGGTAAACAAGTCGGCCACTTGGCCAGCAACTCGTTACTACCCCTTGCTACTTCCCTCGCTGCTGCCACACACACACAGACACATTGATAACCCTCTGCGTCGCGTACACATGTCGATGTCTCGAACTTGTTACCACTTTTAAAGCGGGCCGGCCTCCGTTCGGCGTGGCCCCTGTAATAAATTAATATTCAAATTGTTAATTGAATATTATTTGTTAAATTTGCAAGCATTAAATGTAAACGTCGGCTGGCTGGGCAAATGTGGCGGGGGCGTGACTGCGACCCGTGCAAAATTTATTTTCTTTTATTTCGCAATTGTTTTTTTTTTTTTGGTTTTTTTGGTGCTGTTTAGTTAATTAAATTTATGCGATTTTAACACATTCTTGAGTGGGTTATGGGAAAATCGTTAACTGGATTGGGTAACATTTTCACTGCCAAACACAGACACACACACACATACCAATACATTTACAACTCAGTGTGCCCGAAAATTTGGTCACTGTACCAACGACCTCCATAAAAATCTCCCCCAAGTGGCAACAATACAAACAAAAAATGCATCGATGAACAACGAGTGTAGAACGAGTGCACAACGAGTACTCGCAACTGTAATTGTATCTGTGTCGCAGTCTGTGTCCTGTGCGACTGTTTGGCTGTTTGGCTGTTGTTACTGTTGTCCTTGTCATATCCTCTGCTGTTGTTGTGCAATTTCCATAATTCATATTCATAGACATTACAAGCGGCCAGACAAACAAACAAACTGAGGAGCTGTCGCGACACTGCCTGCACCTGCAATACGGCTAAATGTCCGTCCTAACGGTTCTCAAAAAAAAAACCCCAAAAAAAAAAGAATCTACAATGTGTAAATGTGGCCAGAGTGCAAAAAATTTCACATATGCTTTTGGCCAAGGTAGAGGTAAAAAAACCCAAACCAAAACTAAAAACTCAAACTGAGAGCAGCTCACATGAAACGCTTCAGCAGTGAATAATGAAAGAGTAGAAAGATAATCGCAACACGTTTATACATAAATTATGCAAAGTAAATTTGATTGAGCTTAAAATAGTGTTAAATTTATGGCCAGAGAGAAAGAGAGACAAGCTTCAGCAAAATCAGCATGAATCATCATTATCACTGTCATCATAATCAGAACTGAGCCGAACAGAACTCAGCCAAAGTATCTTATAGATGCACGCACACACAACGTGCCACATTTGATTTTACACACACACACACACACACACACTTCGAAATTATTAACTGGGGAGCATTTTGTAGTTCGGCAAGTGTAAGTGTTGTCCTGGACCTCGAATGGCGACCGAAACACAAACACTTCATAAATTGGTACACGGCACTTTCGCTTTTACCGTTGCCATCTGCACGTGGATGGACATGACCAGTGATAGAGACAGAGTGGAGAGTGGCGGCAGCCAATAGAAGGATGCCACATGTGAGGCAAGTGCGAAAGTACACAACGACATCTGAAGCTGGCCACCGGGTTTCAATTAATGAATTAGTAATTTCGGTTTCATTGCTGTAATGAACACTTGGCGCAACTCAGAAGTGGGTTGAGCTTCCGAAATTTCTGTAAATGTTGTTATGTTGCAAGTTTGGTAATAAAGAACAAAGTTATTAGATAGCTACCAGTGGGAGAGAGAAAGGGAAGTTTCTGGCTTGCCAAAACATCAGTTGAGTGTGGTGCTGCAAAGAGCAAATGGATTGTATTTGAGTTAATTATTTTGAAGATTTGATCTGCTCATTTCTATTTAAATACGTTGATCCACAATCCGAAATAAAAATGTCATTCAGCACTTAGCAATGATCATTTTTCGAATGATTCTCCTGAGTGTTTTTTATGAAATCGAATTGTCTTTTATGATCCGTTGTGGCAGTCAACGTTGCCGCCACCCAGGTAACTCATCGCGCATTCATTAAAAGTATTAATACCTTTAAATTATTGATAATTTTGTAATTGTAGTGCAACAGTACTGGCTTTTGACCACACAGACCACAGACCACAGACTACGTGACGTTTATTTACTTTGCCTCATTCATTGCATTCGCTTCACTTGTTTACGACTGCTAATGAATGGTTGCACTTGCAGTGCTCGCATTATCCGAGAATCTTTAAGGGGGTGACACACCCACCTCTGGGCTTACATTGTTGCAAAGGTTATGGAACCCGCCGGTTATTTGTTTTCCATATCACTGCAACTGGTAATTGTGACATTAGAGCCGCAATTACGTACGCTAATCCACAGAGATGGTATTACTAAAAAACGATTTGCTAAGTGAACACACAATGTCGATAAGGAATCAACATTGAAAATGCACTTGCAGCATGAGATACGTTTTTTTTCTCTTTTTTCTTTTTTTTTTTGTAGTCTATCTTTTGTTTTGTAGCTTTTTCATTTTAGCTTCGTTGCCTGCTGCTGTAGCGACACTGTAGCGACGCTGTGGGTATGCAATTAGTC